CATTCTCCTCATCCTCTCCTCCTCCTCCTTCCCCTCCTCATCATCATCTTCATCCTCCTCCTCATCCTCCTCCGATCAAGGTCTGCTGTCTAGGACTAGATACAGATGGGTCCATGAAGCGTTAGTAAAGAAACCATATAAACACACAACTAATCCTGATATGTGTGAAAGCGTTGGTACGGCAACCTGGTGACAGCACATATAATCCGCATAGTTTTGAAGGTTGTGGTAAGGAATCCCTGTGAAAGCACGGATAACCTTGATAAGTTTGAAGGTGTTGATAAGGAAACCTTGTGAAACACACAGGTAACCCTGATAGTTTTGAAGGTTCATGCAAGGAGACCATGTGAAAACACAGATAATCATGATAAGTTGAAAGGTTTTGGTAAAGCGGCCCTGTGAAAATATTGATAACCCTGATAAGTTTGAAAGGTGTTGGCAAGGAAACCTGGTGGAAAAAAAAGCCTGGCGAAAGACCCAACCATACGCAGTTAAGGGCGCCGCAACTGTGAATCTCGTCTTCGGTGGAGCTCCCTATGAGGCCAAGAACCGCGCGAGGGGAGCGCCGATGCATGGCGGGGAACGCAACGCGGAAGAAGACGCTAGGTCTGATAACGAAGGCCTGCGAGCGGGTGAGTCTGAGCACGAGTGGCCTGGTTGTGCATGAGTCTGCGCGCGGGGGAGTCTACGTGGATGAACGTCGACGCCCATATCGGCACCCCCCCTCGCGTGGATCGCCCCCGCTTCCTCCCGCTCTTTTTCTCCCTCTTTGCCCGCGCACTCCAGTGCCCAAGGCTGCGGGCGCAGCGCAGCACGGAGCCCCCGCGACGCGCGCTGGTCGCCCCGAAGGGGTCCGAGCAACGCACGCGGGTCGTCCGCTGCGCGGAGCAAAGCGAGCTAGCTGGCTGGCTGGGAACGGGCATGGCTCTGGGCGCCGGGCAGAGGTGCTGGGCAGCGCGCAGCACGGAGTCCCCGCGAAGCACGCTGGTCGCCCCGAAAGGGCCCCAGCGACGCGCACGGGTCGTCCGCGGCGCCTGGCCGAACTGCGGGACAGCCTGGACATGGCGCGGCTCGGGCGGGCCGCTCCCCAGGTCACGCCTCGCGGATAAACTCGGTGAAGCCCAGCTCCCTGGCGAGGGTCGCGGCCTCCCTCCTGCACCGCTTCGCGCGCGCAGCAAACTGCTCCAACTGCTTCCGCAAGCCCGCCGGCGGCCCCGCCAGGAAGAACTCGATGCGCGGCGCCCGCGTGAGCAGGAGGTCCCCGTGGCGCGTGGCGCGCGAGAGCAGCACGTAAAGCTCCAGCCACCAGTCGTCGTCGCCCTTCCTGCCGTTCCCGATCTCGCGGCGGCCGCAGTCCAGGATCACGCCTGGGCGACGTCGGCCGAGGGAGCAGCGCGCGGGGCAGCCAACGGCCCAAGGCGAGAATCCACAGAACCAAAAAAGGCATGGCCGCGGATCGCTCGTGCCCAGGAGGTTTGGCCGTGGACTGCCCGGGGGGCGCTGTTCCCCCGCCCCGTCGCCTGCTCGCACGGTGCGCCCCTGGCACGCCACCGCGGTGATGACCCTGCCGTGCGAGAACGGGAAGCCCGCCCGGGTGACCTCGGAGGTGCGGAACGTGAACGGCTCCGACGTGCGAGGCTCGATGAACACCAGCGGGCCCGTCAGGTCCCCTGTGAGGGTGTCGTCGTGGCGCTTCAGGTCGTCCACGAAGGGTGCGCTCGCGTACTTCTCCATGCACACCCAGAACCCCAGCGGCAAGTGCTTCAGATAGATCCTCTTCTCCCCGTCTCTCTCGGCCCTCTCGACGTCGCCACGATCCCGAGGGTCCACGACGACGTGCACGATCTGCCCCTCGGCATCCTTGACGAGGCCGTTTTTGAGGTCCAGCGCCTCCAAGAGCCGGATCCGCATGCCCACGTGCACCGGGAGCAGTCCGTGCATGCCACCGGTGTTCTTCGGGTTGGCACAGTTCATCATCTTGGCGGCGTCCTTCCTGCTCATCGTCGGGGCAGATCTGTCGGCGGCCTGCACGAGGAAGAGGGGCTTCTTCAGGACGTCCGCGTCCCGCTGGGCTCGCATATTCATCCAGCGCGCCACGGTGTCCCAAAAGGACCCAATCATGTGGCCGTTCTGGAACCTTTCCTCCCGGAGTCTACGATCATCGGGTTTCAGCTGCATGGCGTTCCACGTGGCCCGGATGGCCGGCGGGACCTGCTTCCCCGGCCTGCGCAGGAACGCCATGAGGTCCCTGAGTTTCGGGTCCTTGAAGCGGTTGGACGCCTGGAGCTCGAAGCACAGCGGCGTGTTGCAGAAGAGCGTCATCACGGCCTGGCACTCTGGAGCGAGGTTGATGCCCGCCGCCGCCAGTTCCTCAGGGACACTTTGTCTCCGGACGCATCCCCGAAGCCCCCCGAGGCCACCAGTGGGCCTGGAACGCCCTCGACAACTCTCGGGCAATAACGCCAGTAGCTCGGGCACCCAGGCTGGTTGCGGCGATCGCCCCTGGAACGCTGTCGGCGAGGCGCAGCTGCTGGGTTACACATCGCAGCCTTCAAAAACAACGCATGGAACTAACCTCACCTTCGGAACGCCGCCACTGAGGCCTTCGGTGGAGCCAACGAAACGTGTCAGGGAGTGCCGAAATGGGGGTGACGGCTCCCTATGGGGCCACGAAACGCTGTCCTGGGTGGGGGAGACGCATGCGGACTGCGCCACTGGGGCCTTCGGTGGAACTCCCTATGGGGCCACGAAACGCTGTCCTGGGCGGGGGAGACGCATGCGAACTGCGCCAATGGGGCCTTCGGTGGGGCTCCCTATGGGGCCACGAAACGCTGTTCTGGGCGAAGGAAACGCATGCGGACTGCGCCACCGGGGCCTTCGGTGGAGCTCCCTGTGGGGCCACGAAACGCTGTCCTGGGCGGGGGAGACGCATGCGGACTGCGCCACTGGGGCCTTCGGTGGGGATCCTTATGGGGCCACGAAACGCTGTCCTGGGCGGGGGAGACGCATGCGAACTGCGCCACTGGGACTTCGGTGGCGTTCCCTATGGGGCCACGAAGCGCTGTCCTGGATGGGGGAGACGCATGCGAACTGTGCCACTGGGACCTTAGGTGGAGCTCCCTATGGGGCCACGGAACGCTGTCCTGGGCGGGGGAGACGCATGCGAACTGCGTCACTGGGACCCTCGGTGGGGCTCCCTATGGGGCCACGAAACACTGTCCTGGGCGGGGGAGACGCATGCGAACTGCGCCACTGGGACCTTAGGTGGCGCTCCCTATGGGGCCACGAAACGCTGTACTGGGTGGGGGAGACGCATGCGAACTGCGCCACGGGGACCTTCGGTGGAGCTCCCTATGGGGCCACGAAACGTGTAAGGGGTGTGCCGAAGCTGATGGCGATGATTGTGACGATGACGGAGATGATGATGACGAGGATGGTGACTGCGACGATGACGATGATGACGACGATGATGATGCTGATGGTGATGACGATGATGATGATGATGATGTTGTTGATGATGATGACGATGATGGTGATGATGATGATGATGGAAAGAGGGAAGAGGGGGAGGAGGAAGGAGAGGAGCGCGGGGCACCGTCTCTTCAAAACGAGGACCCAACACCACAGGATGGTTGCGTGACGATGACGAGGAGGAGGGCGGAGGGGAGGAGGAGAGGAGGAGGAGGAGAGGACGCGGGGCGCTGTCTCTTCAAAACGAGGACCCAACACCACAGGATGGCTGGGAACAAATATTCCTGATAAGTTTGAAGGTTCTGGCAAGAAAACCTTTTGTAAAAACACAGATAACCCCGATAAGTTGAAAGGTTTTGGTAAAGAAACCATGTGAAAACATAGATAACCCTGATAATTTTGAAGGTGTTGGTAAGGAAACCGTGTGAAAACACAGATAATCCTGATAAGTTTGAAGGTTCTGGCAAGGAAACCTTGTGACAACACAGGTAACCCTAATAATTTGAAAGGTGTGGGTAAGGAAACCATGTGAAAACACAGATAATCCTGATAATTCAAAGTTTTCTGGATACGGGCGCGCTGAAATGAGTCTGGGGGCGCAGCAGGAGGGGCGCCCGTATCCAGAAAACCTGAAATGATCAGGATTATCTGTGTTTCCACAGGGCTTCCGCACCAAAACCTTCAAAATGATTCGGGTTATCATTGTGTTCACAAAGTTTCCTCACCAAAACCTTCTAAATTATCACGGCTATCTGTGTTTCACCGGGTGTCCTTGCCAAAACCTTCCAACATATCAAACAGTATCTGTGTTTTCACAGGTGCTCCTGCCTGGCGTATTGCCCCTGGGGGGCGTGGAGTTGTTGAAAGAGCAGGAGGAGGGACGCCCGTCTCCAGAAAACAAAAAATATTATGATGTTCTCTGTTTTCATCTGGTTTCCTTACCAAAACTTCCAAAATTATTGTGATTACCTGTGTTTTCACAAAGTTTCCTTACCAAAACCTTCAAAATTATCAGGGTTATCAATGTTTTCATATGCTTTCCTTCAGAAAGCGGGCCCTTGTAAGGCTTTCCAAAAAGGAAATCCCTTTGTATGGCCTCCACACAAGGAGTCCATGTGCACCACCGCCTCAAAACTCCAACACGACAGGTCATCCTTCCACGAGGAGGAGGAGGAGGAGGAGAAGGAGAAGGAGCAGGAGGAGGAGGGAGAGGAGGATGAGGAAGAGGAGGAGGATGAGAAGGAGCAGACGATCAATAATGGATGTGTGGTTTTGGTGGTTTGGGGGGTGCTGGGGGGGGGGGGCACCATACATATATATATATATATACATATATATATATAGGCGAAAGCGGCATGAACATGTATGAGTGAGATGTTGAGTATGAACATGTGTGGGAGGGGCCCTGCAACTGTTTGGTCTCAAGCATTTTCGGGGCCAGGGCCCCTGTAGCTCGCGGCCACACTTGTCGCGCCCTCCGCCCAAGGGACAAAATGGCGAGCTGCTGAAAGGCTCACACACCACGGGAGATGAAGCCGAGCCTGGCATCCAGGCGGGCGGTGGCGGAGACAGTCACTACCCGAGGAGGAGCTGCGAGCCCAAAGGAGCGCGACGTGTCTGCCGCGATCATGGCCTGTCGCCGTGTGATCCGCGACGATGGCGCTCTCGGTTCGGCCGCGGAGGAGGTCGAGCTGGCGTCTGTGGCGGCCGAGCCCCTCGCCCGCTGGCTCACGCTGAAGGTCTCCCTGGAGGTGGACAACTTCGGCGACATGCTGTGGGAGACCTACCAGGGCGCGGTCAAAGGCACGGGCTGCGCCGAGAAGCTCAAGATGCTGCCCGACGACCTGGAGGCCTGGAATGATATGGCGCAGTCCTTGCGTTCACAGGTGATAGGAGAGGACCCCCAGGGACGCCCCCCGGGGACGCCCGCCCGCGTACTACGAGAAGATCGCAAGCTGGGCGTGCGTCGTGACCGTGGCCGCCTTCGCGGTGGTCCTCGGCTCAGAGACGGGTCGCAATCGCTTCCTGGGCTACCTGACGCTGTCTGGGTGCACGCTGGCGATGGTCTGGGGCGGCTGGCGGAGTGCCCGCCCGCAGGCGCCGGGCCTTCAGGGCCGAGGGCCGCCGAGGACCAAGCAACGGCGCGCGGCGACTCGAGCGAGGGCGACTGCATGGCCAAGCCGCCCAAGCAGGAGGTGACCACCGAGAGCCAGGAATCCCAGACCCTCGCCGAGCTGCACGCGGAGAACGAGCGGCTGCGCGCGGGAGTGCCGTCGGCCGTGGGCCACGCCACGCCGGCGCCGCCGCCACCGGCGCCGCCTCTCTCCCCGCCGCTGCCGCCGCCCGCGGCGGCGCCACCTGCGGCCCCACCCGTGGTGGCGCCCGGGCCTGCGACAAGCGGGTCGGCGGAGGCGTTCCGAGCTTTCGCGGAGGATCGCGCTCCCGACGGGCCGCTCTCGAGAACCGCCGCGGGAGCCGCAGCGGACAGCGCGGGTGTGTACGCGCCCGTCGCGCCGGGCTGCCATGCGAAGACGAAGGCGCAGGCGGCGCGCGTACAGGAGGCGCCGATGGCGGCGATGGCGGCGATGGCGCAGCAGTCCACCAACCCATACTGGGCTTGGTCCTTTTGGCAGTGGGTGGCGGAGGCCAACGAGACGGAGCCGTTCGAGCAGGAGATCATGAGGTTGCTGATGTCAAACGGCCACGTTGGACCTGCCACCCGATCGCCCCCACGCGAGTCGTTGAAGAGCGAGCTTGAGCTGGCGGCGCTGCACGCGAAGCCCACACACGGAGCAGGTGCGCTGGACGGTGATGGCGTGTATTCCCGGGACGATTGCGGCCTCACCCAGGACCAGGAGCTGGCCAGGTGGAACGCGAGCCTCCCGCCCGACCGGACGAGGGCCGCCCTCGAGATTTACCGATCCATGAGGAGTGCGGGGGCGGCATCGGTTCGCGACTGGTTGGCGCAGGGGTACACTGGCAACAAGAGCGCCCAGCTCCGGATAGATCTTTGGAATGCCGCCACGTCCATCGATTTCACCACGGCCCGAGTCAAGTCGCAGGTGGAGCTCCTCAACCTGTTGGCCGGTGACGACGGTTTGGAGATGAACCTACGGAGGATCGCGAGCTCCGTCTATGACAAGCGGACGGGCGACAAGTCAGGCGCCCAGAAGATGCTTGCCATTCCCCCTCCAGGGGCTGGGGTCGACCTGGCCCCGACCTGGCTCGTCACGGAAGCCACGGCCCATTCAAAGATGGAGCATCAAAGGGCTGAGAGGGTCGAGGCATCCCACCGATCGCAGGGAGGACGTGGAGCTGGACGCGGCGGCGTTGGTGGTGCTGGGCGGGGAGAGGGACGAGGAGGTCAGGGTGGGGGACATGGTGGAGCAGCCGACGGAGGTGGAGGCGCTGGAGCAGCCCAAGGTGGAGCACGGGGAGGCGGTCGCGGGCGAGGCCCGCAAGGGCGCGGCCGCCCCCAGGGCTGACGACACTCCGGGGGCCAGGGGAGTACCTCGAGCCCTGCCCTGGCGCCCCGTCAGGCACCCGAGCTGTGGGTGCCCGTGGGCCACCGAGCCCAGGCTCGTTCCCTGGACGCCGAGTTCTTCCAGAACCTGCCGGTGTGATGGAGGACCTGTGTCCCGTACCTCTACCTGCACGACCTCTTCACCGCGGAGGCGCCCGCAGCGGCTGCCTCCGCACACGCATGGCGCCACGAATGCGCGTCTGGCGACGAGCAGCCGGCATGGTTGCCTTGATCAACGGCGTGGACGCGGGCCACCTTCGGACAGCGTCGACGAGCCGCGCGGCTGGGATATCTACCACGACGAGAGCGGCTTGGAGAAGCGTGCACGCCTTCGCGCTGAAGGAGACGGCTAGCTTAGAGCGCGACTGCCGGGGCCTGGGCCTGACAGGCGGTCCACCAGACGGACACGTTCGAGAGGTCGCGGGCCCTGAGAGCTACACCCGGTCTCCAGGGGCCCTGCGCGTTGCACCTAAGCCGATGCACCTTCTCGACATTGACGAGCCGAAGGACGACTCCATTGTGGACACGCTCTCGGCACTCCCAGAGCACGAGAGGCGCTTCTACGAGCACGAGGCCAGCATGTTCTCCTACGTCGGCCAGGCCGATGCCGTGATCTGCGAGCTGGAAGACCAGCACGCGGTCGTGAACGGCACGGAGGAGGGCTATGCCACCTACCTGTGCCGCGAGGATCTTCCGAAGGGGATGTGGTCGTTCGTCCCCGCCTCCGAGGCCATGGCTTTCGGCGGCTTCAGCACGGTGCCCAAAAAGGCCCCCTCGAAGCAGCGAGAGGTGCTGATGAATGCCCCTGCCAACTACATGTGGATGGACCCTACGGAGCGGGCCGACCACGGCCTGGCTGGGGGAGAGGCCCCAGCACAATGGGTGGTGCCAGCGGACCACTGGGAGATTGCAGCGTTCGACGAGAACAACGCGTTCACCAGGATTCGGGCGCGGCCGTGGTACGCCCGCTGGCAAGCCACTCCGTCGCTGAAGGCCTGGCGAGGGTGGCATTTGCTGACTCCAGAAGTGCAGCAGGAGGTCACGGAGCAAGGCTGGGTCGCGCCGCTGCATCACCGCCTGGCCATAGGCGGCTCCCACTCGGTGCACATCCTGATGTCCACCAACCTCACCACGATAGGTCGGGCACTCTCGGGCGCGGGGGCCCGCCTCGCGCAGGAGAGCGACGCCGACGAGCCGTGCATCCCAGACGAGTGCGACCAGCGCGAGGAGGACGACTTCCCAGACCTGGACGTGGACGACGAGACGCGGGTGAAGCAGAACCACGTGGCCAAGTCGAAGGGCGCGGGGCAGTCGAGCTACACCGTGGCAGGCCAGACTCGCGCCGCCTGTGCGGCGCGGCGTCGGACCACTCGCGTGTTCGTGGTCATGCACCTGTTCGCGGGCGAGCGTCGCAGTGACGACGCGCAGGCGCAGCTGGAGCCCCGCTGCGAGGAGGCTGACCTGGAGCTGCTGTTCCTCTCCGCGGACCTGGCGACGAACGCGGCCTGGGACCTGGCCGAGCCCGACAGGGTTTGTGTAAGGGTGGTTTCATTGACGTCGTCCTTGGGGGGCCTCAGTGCTCTACTTTCTCACGAGTGCGCCAGAGTCGCCCAGGCCTGGGACCTCGACCTGTTCGTCGGCGTGGCCGCTGGGCCTGGGGGCTGCCCGACCTCGGACCCCGGGAGCAGCGCCGAGCCTTCGAGGCGAATGTGCTCGCGGTGAACCTCATGGCCATGTGCGAGGCGGTCGTCGTGAGCGGAGGTCGCCACCTCGTGGAGCACCCGGAGGACCCAGGGCAGTTCCCTTCCCCCTCCCTATGGGACACGCCAGAGATGAGGGCACTTGAGAAGCGGACGGGTGCTACTCGAGCACTGTTCGACCAGTGCCAGCTCGGAGGCTTGGCCAAGAAGGCCACCTGCATGTGACGCGGGAAGGTTTGGACGGCTTGAACGGTGCGAGATGTGCGGGAGGCCACGTACACGCGCGATCCGATGGCAAGGATAACAGAGGGAAGTTCAACACCAGCCACCTGCAGACCTACCCCAGGGAGCTCTGCGACAAGATAGCCTCCATAACCTTCGACGCGCCGCCGCGGCGGTTCCACGCCGAGAACGCCAGACCCACCAGTGGCCAGGTGCCCGAGGGCGCTCGACCCAGGGTCTCAGCGTGGGGCGAGCGGTGCTCGCTACGCCGGGCGGTGGCCATCCGAAATGAAGATGCAGCGCGAGGCCGAGGGCTGGTCCTACGTCAGCGGCGGTTGGGCCTCTACCTGCACGTGGACGACGGCGTGTGCATTGGCCCGGGCGAGCACCCCGGTGCCGCGAACAGGCTGATGGAGCAGCTCGCCGACGAGCTGGAGGCAGTGGGTTCGTCGTTGACGACCGCACCCTGGCAGAGGAGCTTACGAAGGTGGTGGGCTACGAGGTGATCAAGCGGCCCGTGAGCCTGAGGCTGCCCAATCAGAAGAGAGTGGCCATCGCGCAGGAGCTGGAGCGGCCGTCGAGGGCCGAGTGGGTCCACACCGACGACGCACGGTCTATTGTGGGGTCTTGGGTATGGGGAGCGCTGCTGAGGAGGGACTTGCTCAGCATTCCCTCCGCCGTCTTCAAGTTCCTCGACCTGTTCCCCGAACGCTGAGCCCGATCGCGGCTGTCTGGCCGACGCGAGCTGCGGGCCATGGCGAGGGCCGCCCTCTTCATGATCGCCGACGTCGGGGCGCAGCTGTCGAACACGTTCTTCGCCATAGACGCCACGGGCGCCTCGGATCTGGACAACGGCGGGTACGGCATCGCGGCGGGAAACGTCTCTGACAGGGTGAAGTTCGAGTCCGTGGACTCTAGAGTGGCCGCGGGGGGTCACTGGCCAAGCTGGACGGCAGCTTCGCGGGCTCGACGGACCCCGACAATAAGATCTGGCTCACCAAGTTACATCAGGAGTTGTTCAACGGACGGGGTGACTGGAAGGTGGTAGAGCACGGCCGCTGGGCCCGCGCGGATCACATTACCTTGGGAGAAGGCCGAACAGTGGTGAGGCTGGCGCGCAGGCTGGCCCTCACGTCCCAGATGCACAGGTCAGTGGTCTTCTCGCTGCAGGACAACAGGCCCGTGGAAGGGGCCATGACGAAGGGGCGATCTCCTCCTTTCGAGGTCAACCGTCTTCTACGTCAAGAGACTGCCGCCTGCCTGGCGGCCAGGATTCTTCGACTCATCATCCCGTGGATCGAGACGGGTATGCAGCCTTCTGATTGGGTCTCCCATTTGATTGGTGCAGATGAACACGGAGCGGAGCAGAGTGACGGGACCACGTCGCCTCGATCCGCATCAGCTTAGCAAGATCACCCCGGTGACGCTCGCCAGGTACCGAGCCGCCAGGAAGCCATTTTCCACGTGGCTGGAGGAGCGCAACTTCCAGTCGGACTGCGCCGAGGCCTGGGATGACCGACTCGTGAATTTCACGAATGAGGCAGGTCCCTCGCGCAGCCAATTCACGCAGCTGCTGGCGAGCGTGGAGTTCTGTTTTCCGATATTCAAAAGACGTCTACACTGCGCGAGGGCCGTGCTGGCAGGCTGGGCGGTGAGTGCACACACAAGGCATACGGTGCCGCTCGGCCGAGGGCCCGCTGCGCTCATTGGCGCACAATGGGCCAGCCAGGGCTATTTTCGTTTGGGAGCCTGCGTCTTTTTGCAAGCCAAGCGTGGACTTCGACCTTCAGGGATGCTGAACATGCGACCTGAAGACATCACATTGCCGGTCGAGGTTAGGAGGAACATCTTTGCAGCGTCACATGGTCATCGCTTTGGGCCCCCGCAGGGGGGCCAAGGCAAAACGAGCACAGTTCGTCCATGCGCGAGGAGGAGGAGGTCGTCATTCGTCTCATGTCCCGCCTCGGTGCTGCGGCACCGACCTCTGCTTGTCTCTTTCCATACCCGATCGACCGCTACCGCCGCATGCTCAAGACCATTGAGAGGAGCCTGGGCGTGCGCGCGGGGTGGAAACCCCATTCTCCCCGAGCTGGGTTCGCTTCCAATTCGGTGGAGGACGGGGCGCCTGTCACCGAGGTAAAAGAAACGGGCAGGTGGATCTCCGAGAGCTCCACCAGGGTCTACATCGACGTAGAAGCCGCCAGCGACGTCATCACCAGGCGCGCAGGCGCAGGGCTGTCGAAGGCGATCATCTGGGCCAACGACAAGTTCGAGCTCTACTTTCCAGAGGGCTGCTTCGATGCCGCCGACCGGCTGAAGGAAGAACGAGGCGGGCGTGTTCGTGCCTACTCTCAGGGTGGAGCCACGCCCGAGTCGGGCGTCGACGCCACGACCCTCCGCGGGCCCTGCGGCAGCGGCAGCGCCCCATCCTCACCCAGTGGCGGATCCGCCGACAGCGCAGGCTCAGGAGGCGACGGAGACCGAGGAGCTGCCGCCAGCCGCAGACGAGGCCGAGGCCCGCGAGGCGGCGGGCGCGCTGGCGCTGGCGCCGGTGGCCTCAGGGGCCGCGGCGGGGCATCCGCGCGCGGCGGCCCCTAAGCGCTCGGCCGCAGTCAAGCCCAGGAGGGCCAGAACCTGGGCCGGGCGCGCGTGGCGCTGGAGCGGAGCTGGACTGGCCGCGGCCATGCCGACCAGAGGGGGGCGCAGCCACGACCGCGCTCGTCCTGGCCTCCTGGCTGGGACTGGGACCCCTGGCACACGTCTCGGCAGTGCTCGGCTCCGTGGCCTCAGTCACCGAGTCAGCCAGCTCGGCGATGAGCTCTGGCATCCATTCGGCATCCTCGCTGACCTCATCGGCTTCGACGTGTTCCCTGGGAGTTACGAAATCGTCGCAGTCGACCTCGCAGGAGGCCTTGCGAGGCGTGGACGTCTACAACGTATCGGTGACGGCCTGGCAGCGCCAGACGGTGGCCGACGACGGCGACCTGCTTGCGTCCTGGCTGGAGGCATCCCAGGACGAGGCGGTGCTCTTGCTGTCCACCTCACAGAAGGCCGCGCTGATTGATGCGGTCGCTTCCCTGACTCTGAGACAGCAGCTGGTGGCTGGCTCCAAGCGTGCACTGTCATGGCCAGGGTCGTTCCGAGATTTCGTTTTCGAGGCAGGCATCCTAGGCACAGGCCACTCAGGGATCCAGTGGAGCGTAGCTGAAGCCACGTTTGAGTGTGCCTGGGTGAACCCTCTCTGGTCAGCACTCAAGTTAGACCCCAGCACTGAGCATGAACAGATCTCTGAAGCCCTTCAATAACTCTCTTGCCCGGCTCCCTTTCGCCCTACCCGACTGGCAAACCCCGGAAAGCCCGGTGGCCCCTGTTTCTTGTCCTCGGAGGCCTCGAGGCATGGGTCCGGAGGGCGTTCCGACAGTTTTTGATGGCGTGCCAATGTATGGGGCATGTCACCCTCACCGTGCGCGGATACGGGCTGACTCCAGTTTGTGCCGGATGTGTGCGTGTGTGTGCGATCACGTACCGTGGTTCGACCTTTCTTTCAGTGGCGAGCGTTTCCTTTTGTCCGCCTACTGTGTGATATACGGGCTCAGGCAAGCGTGATCCACTTTAGACATCCGAAACAGCAAGCTGGGAGCAGTCTCGCGTCCGAAAAAGGAGTCAGCCCTCGTTGGTGCTTGTGCAGCTAAGGAGCAGGGGAGAGCCACAGTATTGCAAGCCGGCACCGTCGAGGTGACGACAAAGTGGTCCGGCAGTTTGTGCGGCCCCGACCCCTGAGCTATGACACATGTATTTCGATCCGTTGGGAAGTTTCAGAACTCTAGCCTTCCTATGATAGTTGTATGTGTAGATCAATGTATGTACATATACATCACATACATGGATGCAGACATGCATGTGTACATACATACAATCATGCAAACATACATGTATGCATGCATGCAAACATACATACATACAATCATGCATACATACATACGTGCATGCACACATGCATGAATTCATGCACACATATTCACATGCATGCATGCATACATACATGCATGACAAAATATGTATCCACACACATACATAGAGACAAGCATGCAGACCTCCCTACCGACCTACCTACCTATCGAGCTACATACATACCTAAACATATACATATACATATACATATACATATACATATAGATATATACATATACATATACAAATACAAATACAAATACATATACATATACATATACATATACCTATGCCTATACATATACACATACATATACATATACATATACATATACATATACACATACATATACATATACATGTACATATACATATACATATACATATACATACATGCATGCATACATACATACGTGCATACGTTCATACATGCATGCATGCATGCATACATAGATACATGTATGCATATACACGTACACGCATATACCTATACATGCATACATTCAGTCATACATACATACATACATACATACATACATGCATGCATGCATGCATGCATGCATATATCCACATATTCATACATATAGACATACAGACATACGTACTCATCAGCATCGTCACCATCATCATAGTCGTCAGCATCATCACCATCATCAGCATCATCATCATAATCCATCCATCCATCCATCCATCCATCCAGCCATCCATCCATCCCCCTATGCTGCATCCCCCTCCTCCTCCTCCTCCTCCTCCTCCTCCTCCTTCATGTGTTCTCCTTTATCTCTCCTCCTCATCATCATCGTCATCATCATTCATCATCATCATCATCATCATCATCATCATCATCAGCAGGAACATCATCCTCGGACGCGAGGTATCCTGTGGTTGCCGGGTTGCCTGCGTTGAGCGGTTGGCAGCATCCACGCCCCATCAATCCCGATGCTGTCGCAGATCACCAGCACAAACCACTGTTGCACCCGTCGCGCACGGGCAAGATTAAGCCCGTCAGGAAGGAGGCGGGGTGGTGTCGGCGGGCCGAGTTGGACAGCTCTCGTGCCTCCTGGCCCACCCTTGGCTCCCCTCCCCCAGTCTCCACGTCATCCCCCCTTCCTGGGGAAACCAAAAGATACCGATACTGGTACCCCGAGGACCTCTCCCAGGGCACGTTCTGATCCGAACGCCGAGCCGAATCCAGCGGTGGCGACGAGAGCTTTCCGGGAGACCAAATAAGGCGGAAACGAAGCAAGGGCAGCGGTATCGGTACCTCCTCCTCCTCCTCCTCCTCCTCCTCCTCCTCCTCCTCCTCCTCCTCCTCCTCCTCCTCCTCCTCCTCCTCCTCCTCCTCCTCCTCCTCCTCCTCCTCCTCCTCCTCCTCCTCCTCCTCCTCTGACCCGCTGCAGCCGCGCCCGCTGCCCCGTACCCTCCCCCGACGGCTGGCCTCATAGCCTGGCGACGCCAGGCACTGCGCCGCCCTCCCAGCGGTGCCGCTTCGGCAGCCGCGCCCTGGGCGCGCGGCGCACCGTAGCCATGGCTGTACCGCGCCGCGGCCTGGCACCCCGAGCCCACATGGCTCCGCGCACTGGGCTGGCCCACGCCGGCGGCGCGCGCGCACGGTCGATCACAACTGACTTGGCCGATCGAGGCCCGACTGCGCGACGCGACTTCGGGAGCCCCGCTCTGGCTCGGGACCTACCTGGCGAGGCGGAGGGGCGCCGGCCTCCGCCTAGGCTCTGCATCGCCAGGGAGCCGAATCTGGCCGGTGGTTGGCTGCTGCGCCAAACGCCACAGTGTGGCACGGAGAAGCTCCCAGAAACCCCGAGAGCCCCCCCGCTCCGCGCACAACAACAACAACAACAACAACAACAACAACAACAACAACAACAACAACAACAACAACAAGGAAAAGGCGCGCGTGAGAGCCCCGTGAGCTCTAGCCGCCCGGACCCGCCCTCGCCTTATTGCGAAGGCTGCGCTCAGAGCCCCGTGGACGCATTCTGACCCCCCCCCAGCAACAGCAACAGCAACCAGCAACCAAAAAAAAAAAAAAAAATCCTGGAACTCCATTGGGCTCCCTTACGGACCTTGACGTGGTCCTGTGGGTGAAAAACGTATGCGCGCCGGCGCGCCGCCGCT